GCCTTACCATCATGCCCCCCATGGGTACTGAGTATACCTGCCCTCCTTCTTGGGGGTCCCAGCCCGCAATGATGATTCCTGCCATCAAGTCTTCCCGGTATCGGTAACACATCTCCTTAAAGAGGCTAGCTGCTGTGTGCACCAGAGGAGGCTCATTCAGCTCAATGCTGTGGAAACCAAGCTGATAGGTGACTGCATCAGCTACTGCCTGGGTATCAGCTGCTGAGCCTGAGCGGCAGCAGAAAATACGGTCATGAATAGGGGTCAGCTTGTCAGTCACTCGATTGGCAATGTAGGACCCAGTGGTTGTTCTGGAGTCGGCTCCTAGAACCACGCCCCCGTCAAACTGCACGGCCATTATAGTGGTCTTTAGTCCTTCCTCACCCCTGTGGAGACTTCCTGGTTTTCCCAGTGGGGGGGGGGGGGGGAAGGCCTCCAGCCCCCAGGCTGGTGCCGGCCCGCTCCTCGAGCAGCTACTAAGGTGGCCGCCATCTTCCTCCCGCTCACACTATTTTTCTACCAAAGATGTCAAAGCATACTAAGGAGATTCTTCAAAAGCATTAAGGAAGAAACATGAAACTCCCTTCACCTTTACTCTCAAATGAAGGAATTCCTGTAATGGGAGCAGGATAAGGGAGAATAAAAGACAGGACTAACAAATGAAGAAGAATATACAAACTAAGAGAGAAATCAGAGAATGTCAGTACTTCTGAAATTAAATTTATTGTTCTAACACCTCACTTATATTAAACAAAGGTTTTCCTAATTACATTTTTCTTGTTTTCCTCTAGTCATTTTTCATTTTTTCCTCCCCAGTTTTTTTTTCAAAGATTTATGTTTTATATATTTATGCATACAAGAACTGGGATGCAAGCCAGAGGTAGGAGGGTGAGAGGATTCACCAGAGACAGAGTGCAGAGCAGAATAAGCGGATCTACTGAAATACACTGCTGAGGGGAGCAGCGAGGAAACAGGAGAGATCTGCTATACCATGTGGGTCAGCTCCCTGGCCCAGTATTGAACTCATGTAGCAGTGGCTGGGGATAGCTTGATAGTGCTGAGACTTTAACCCCTGCGCCACCAGGGAGATGCCCTCCCCATTTTATTTTATTTTTTAATTAAAGACTAACAAATTGAGCATATTTTAAAATGGAGCAGTTGAACTCTGCGATAAAAATTAGAGGAAAAATAATAGGATTACCCATGTTATCATTAAGCAAGAGTCACTGTGCCAATAATGGGAAAGGTCAAACTCTAGAATTAAAAATAAAAACAAACAATAAAACTCATTTTGGCCTCTTAACTGAGAGCAGTTCTAATAAAAGACATTCTAACAACACTAGCTGAATAGAGTTCAATCATAACACTGACAATGCATTTTTTCCTCTTGCACTATACATCCCAGAGCATGTGTATTTTCCATCAAATATATTCCCTTGAAAATGAATACACAATAACCTATTTACAAAATTTTAAATAAACAAGTTGAGGAGCTTCTCAAGTCCTGTTCCCCCACCAACTTTGAGGTATAATTTACTAAAAATGAAATTCACCGGTATTAAGTATAAGGTTTGATTAGTTTGGCAACTGTATATACTTATGTAACTCCTATCACACTCTAGCCCACTTCTTCAACTCAAAATATCCCTTCGTATCTTTTTGCTCTACTTTGCCCAACCCTTGGTCCCAGGAGACCACTGATCTTTGCTTTGTTACTATAAATTTTCATATAAGTGAAATCAAACATAATGTAGTTTGCATCTGGCCTCTTAGCACAATACTTCTGAGATTCTTTCATGTTGTTATATGTATCATTAGTTCTTTTTATATCCAAGAATTATTCCTTTGTATGGATAGACCACAATTCATTTATCCATTCAGTTCATGGATGGCTTGCATTGTTCTCAGTTTTGACTATTATAAATAATTCTGATACGAACATTCACAATATATATGGTTATATACTTCCTATTTTGGTAAATACCTAAAAGTGGAATTACTGGGTCATATGTCTAAGTGTATGCTTAACTTTAAAAAACACTGTCAAAACTATTTTCCAGTGTGCATTCTCATGAGTACAGCATGAGAACTTCAGTTGCTCCATGCTGTGTCTTTAATCTTAGTGATTCTAGCAAGTATGCAATAGTATTTCACTGTGGTTTTAATTTGTACTTCCCTAGTGACTAATGATGTACAGCATCTTTTGTGTGTGAAGTATCTATTCAAAACTTTTTATTTATTTTTTTTTTTATTTTTATTTTAAAGAGGCATGTATTTTTATTTATGATTTATTTATTTGTTTGTTTGTTTTGTTTATACATGCACTGGGTACAGTCAGAAGCACGGGAGGGTGAGAGAATTCACCAGAGCCAGAGCTGGGAGCAGAGCCAGAGGCTGGGAAGACGAGAAGGCAGAAGGGAGGCAGGAGAGGTCTGCGCGCCATGTGGGACCCTCCTCCGGTGGCCGGGGAGCAGCCGGGGATCGAACCGGCGCCGCAGAGGCCGCGGGCAGCTTCGCAAGCCAGCGCACAACCGCTGCGCCACCGGGGAGGCCCTATTCAAAACTTTTGCACACTTTTAAACAGGGTTGTAAGAATTCTTCATATAGGGCCTCCCCGGTGGCGCAGCGGTTGAGCGCTAGGTTGCGAAGCTGCCCGCGGCCTCTGCAGCGCCGGTTCGATCCCCGGCTGCTCCCCGGCCACCGGAGGAGGGTCCCACATGGCGCGCAGACCTCTCCTGCCGCCCGCTGCTCCCCTCAGCAGTGTACTTCGGTCCTTCTGCCTGCTCTGCTCCCCGCTCTGGCTCTGGTGAATTCTCTCACCCTCCCGCGCTTCTGACTGTACCCAGTGCATGTATAAATAAACAAATCTTAAAAAAAAAAAGCTTAATAAATTTAAAAAAAAAAAAAAAAAAGAATTCTTCATATATTTTGAGTATAAACCCTTCATCAGAGATATATGTATTGAGACTATTTTCCCCCAGTCTGTGCACTGCCTTTCCATGTTCTTAATGATGTATTTAAAAAACAGAGGGCTTTTCTTGTCCATTTTAAATTAAATCTGATTTATCAATTTTGTCTTTCATGTTTTCATGTATTATATCTAAGAAATATTTACCTAAACAAGGTCACAAAGGTTTTCACCTGTACTTTACTTTTACATTTAAGTTTATAATCCATTTTGCATTATTCTTTATGTATGGTTTGAGGTAAAGGTTGTTTTTTTTTCCTTTATGAATGTACAGCTGTACCAGTACATGTTAATAAGACTAACCTTTCATCGTCAAATTACCTGGGCCTCATTGCTGAAAATCAATGACATTGACTATGTATGTATGGGTTTACAAACTTCCTATTAGGTTTCAAGATCTATCCTTCCACTATCACACAGACTCAATTACCATAGTTTAAATAAGGCTAAGTATAATTTTTGGTGATTTAACTCTAATGATAATCCTTTCCTATTACTATTTGGGAAATATCTCACAGATAACAAATGACAGAATAGACTACATGTCAAAATATTGCATGTGTGAAAATTGTAAAATTTAAGATTTTCATCCCAAAGTATAAAATTAATCTATTTGTAAAGGCAGAAAATGAGAATACAAGCTAACATTAATTTATATGATCCATGCATTTCAAATGCACTTGTTCATTACCTATGCAGAGAGTAAAAGTAAAGGAATTGCCCCAGAAGCCCCTAAAAATAAAACTAAAACAGTTTGACCCTTACAGTGTCTTTTAGTTTATATAGATCTTTTTCTAACAAAACAATTAAAAAATATACTATACATCATAGGGAAAACAACAGTACTAATTGTTTGCCAAGAATTTTGACTGCCATCCAGGAATATAATTCTTAAATCTACAAACCACCTTTACATACAATCATGTGTACAAGATTGACAAATACACCAACATCCTGACAATCTTTATCATAAAAATGGTTTAAGAATTGCAGGGTTGTCGCCAATTCTGGAGAGGAAAAAAAACATACAAACCCTAAAGAGGCTGTCTTCTTTTCACAATTAAAGAAACCACAAAATTCTAGTGATATCACAAGAGATCAGCAAATAGTACAGAATTAGTTATACCCACGGTGATTCTCTTTATTCAATAATGAGGTTTAAAAATAAAAGTGGGCTAGTTTTATTTTGCTCATAATCAATACATGATTACATTAAAATAAATTCTAAACACAGGGCTCTGAAACTACTTCAAAATTTCTAATAAAAGAAAGCATGAGAAAAGAACTAAGAGATTCCAGAAAACTAAAATTTTACTGTATTCTTGATTTTTTTTTTTGAACGATCTATGTCCTATTCAATAAAAAGGTACGTCTCTAAAATCAGTGAGGTCTAGTTATGCTTAAAGGCTAAAAACAAGATAATCAAAAGCATGTAGTCATTAACATGTCACCTATTACAGTGGTCACAGAAAGAAAATCATAATAATTGAGACTGAAACATAAGACAAAATAACAATAAAAAAACAATAAAAAACTTAACAGAACTATTTTAATTTGCAAAGAGAAATAGGGGTTTCAGCTCAAAATTTTTTTTTGCCCTCACAGCCCAAAAACAAGACCAAAGGCTTTTTACTCAGTCTTTTCATACCACTTTCTAAAGGAACAATTTATTTTTAAAATGCATATGAATTTTTAAACACTCATTTCTATATAAAATTCTTGCTAAGACACCAGTTACTTCCGAGAAACACTTCCTAGGGAAAATCAAAATGAGTTTTCCACAAAGTAACAGGATACTTATATGTCACTAAATTCCTGCGTTAAGATTATCCATCCTCAATGCTTTCAGAATAGCAACTTTTTAGTAGATAGATTACATGTGATACACTAACAATGTAAATAAGCTTTCAATCTAATCTCTCCCTCTCCCTCCACTCTCAGAAGGGTAGCACTGCTTATTAATCTTCCAACTTGGATGACTAGAACACCTCTTTCACTGAGAAAGATGAGGGAAAAAGAATAACAAACTCACCCTTCCTTAGACATTCTCAAAGATCTACTTCCTCTGGATGAGAATACAGGATCAACAAACAAGCTTCACTGATCTCTTGAGAACTGTAGCTCATTTGTTAAAGCACAGAGAACTCAGGCACTGAGAGGCCCAAAAACTTTGGGCACAATGCCGAACCCTAACCAGGCAGTATCTCAGTGACCAATAATCTCAGCTTTGCAAACTTGAAAACTTAAGAATAGAAAAAAAAAACTGGAGAGCAGGAAAAATAACTAATGGCCTGAACTGTTTAAGACCGGCCAGTTTAAAAAGGAGACAATCCAAATGACAAGTTCCTATAAGACAGGAATCGTTACTGGCAAACACACAGAAAAAGCAAAGTTACCCCCAAATGAGGCCCACCAACAGTATGCAAACAATGTGAGTTTCATAGAATAGAGCAGCCCTAGTTAGTACAAATTTTTAGTTCGCTCTGGGAGAAATAAGAAATCAACAGGAAAGTAATACGTTTTAATTATCAACTTAGCTATTCCTCCCTTAGAAACAACATGAGCTACATGAGAAGGAAGTGTTTTTTGTGCCGATCATATTACAGGAGGAACATAAAGTATTTTCACAATGAAGTCTTTTTATCTGATCGTTAACTGCTTTAAGGAAAACATCTGTGTTCACAAATAGTTTGCTCAATTGCCTGAAAATTTCAGCTCATGTGAAAATAAAAAATTACAGATCTTTGGCATACAGGGGAATAAATCCAGAACATACTAAAGATTAATTTCAAATCTCAGCACAAACTGAGGTCTGTAAGAAAAACATCTGCAACATTCCTGCCTCCTGACCAATATAATGCATAGAGATTATGCAACAAGGGCAGAAATAAACAAGTGTGCTAAAGTCAAAGAACTCTGAGATGGCAAATAAATCCTCCAGTGGAGATTCAAGTTAAATACACACACACACACACACACACACACACACACACACACACCCCTTAAAGAAATTCTACTTGAATTTTAAAAAACTACCTAAATATTTTATCATAAAGGTTTCCATTAGTTATTAATTGAACATTTAAATGCTTACCAAGTAACTGAAAAACACTACTAAATTCTATGAATTCAAACTAAAATTATTTTCAGTTATTTTTGAAAGCAGTATGGTGTATAATAGACTTACTGGCACAAGTAGGTTTAATTCCACATCTCCAGTTTCTCTACTATTTGGTTTCATAACCTTAAATAAACCACTTAATCATAGCCCGAGATTTTTTTTTATCTATAGAAGATGGAAAACATCTGGTAGGGTTATTGTCTGTCATACGTAAGCAAGTCAAACTAATGTAACTTAAGGAAGGGTATGAGGAAAACAACTGGATTGTCAAACATTACCTCACCAATATATCTAATTTTTAAAATTTTTTAAAATTTTTAAAAATTCAATTCTCAAATAGTATATAAATATGAAAGATTTGCATTGACTATCCTCAAAACAAATTTGACAAATACAGGAATAAAAACTGATAATAGAAAAAAATGATCTGATGCTTTTAAGAGTCAATTTTGCAAGGCTTTCCTGGATTTTCAGCTTGTGGCATCACAGTTCAGTGTGTTGGAAATCAATGTAATCAGTTTTAAGACTTTACAAAGAGAAGGGAAACAAGATTTCTCACAGATTTACATGAGAGTCCTCTGCAAGACTCTGCATTGTCTAAAGATTAGTTCTTTCAAGCTACATTCATACATTTAAGAAAAATTTCTGTATCTTTGTGCCTGATACCAGTAACAAATATGGCAGTTCTTGGTTTTCATGGCAGTTTAATGTGGAAGGCCCACTCACAAAGAGTTACAAAGTAATATGTAATTGTAATACTCAACATATGTACAATAGAGAGGTACATATATATTCTCTTAGCTGAATCTTTTTGAAAAATATGCAGTTTCTTTTTTTGAGACTGCACTAAGAACTTTACATATGTTACCTCATTAAATCCTTTAATAATTCTATGAGGTAGAAAATAGCTTTATAGACAACAAAAGTTTATAGAGATTAAAAAATCTCAAGAAAGTAAATGGAACAATACAAAACACTAACCCTAGCCCAGGTTCATAATCACCATTAACAGTTGTTAATCAGACTAAGAGGAAAAGAGGGGACAGAGAACAACACTTCAACAAAGGAAAATAATGAACAAAATCAGAATGACATGACATTGTGACATGTGAAAACTAGACATAGTTCAGAATTGATGAAATACAGATTTTGAGAAAGGGAGCTGCACAATATGAAGGTAGAAAAGAAAGGATCTGTATTACAGGACCTTAATGGCTACATTAAGGGGCTGAGAATTTATCCCATAGCTGGATATTGTGATGCTACTCAGATTTTAAGAAGAGTAGTAACAGCTTTTTAAAAAAGTTTTGAAGAGGATAAGACTGAAGGGAGGGAGACTTAATTGGAGTTACTTAAGTAATTCAGGACAATAATGACTGGGGTCGGGATTAGCCCTATCAGGACTGAAAATATTTCTGAATTAGACTGTGGTAATGGCTGCACAATCTTGAGAACATACCAAACCCACTGAGCAACACACTTTACAATGATGAATTTTATTTTAATAAAAAATACAAAAAATTTTAATTAAGAAAATCTGTTCAGGCCTCCCTGGTGGCACAGGTGGTTGAGCACAGTGCTGTTAAGCTGTCCACAGCCTCTACAGTGCCCGTTCAATCCCCGCTGGCCGCGGCGCAGCAGACCTCTCCTGTCTCACCCGCTGCTACCCTCAGCAGTGTATCTCAGTCAGTCTGCCTGTTCTGTTCCCCACTCTGACTCTGGTGAATCCTCTCACCCTCCCGCACATCTGGCATGTACCCTGGTTCTTGTATAAATAAATAAATCTTAAAAAAAAAAAAAAAAAAGAAAATCAGTTCATCCAGCAATTGCAGACAGTAAAAGGCAAGGCAAAGATAAGAATAACAAATATATCTGACAAATAACTTTTGGCTACAAGGTATATAAATACATACATACAAAAACTCATATACAGGGCCCCCCTGGTGGCGCAAGGGGTTAAGCACTGCACTATGAAGCAATCCACAGCCTCTGCAGCATGAGTTTGATCCCTGGCCGGCCAGGGAGAAACCCACATGGCGCAGCAGACCTCTCCTGACTCACCAGCTGCTCCCCTCAGCAGTGTATTTCAGTCAATCTGCCTGTTCTGTTCCCCACTCTGTCTCTGGTGAATCCTCTCACCCTCCCACACATCTGGCCTGTACCCCAGATCTTGCATTAAAAAAAAAATAGTAATTTCAGATAATATACAAAGAACTTTAAAGTGACTACAGTATCTTTTTTTTTTTTTTTTTAAAGATTTATTTAAGCATACAAGAACTGGGGTACAGGTCAGAGGTGTGAGGGGTGAGAGGATTCACCAGGAACAGAGTGGGGAACATAACAGGCAGACTGACCGAAATACACTGCTGAAGGGAGCAGCAGGCAAGACAGGAGGGGTCTGCCGCGCCATCTGGGTAGCTCCCTGACGGGCTGGGAATCGAACTCACACTGCAGAGGCTGTGGACAACTTCACAGTGCTGTGCTTAACTCCACGTGCCACCAGGAAGGCCCCTGCAATATCTTTTAAAATAAGCTTAGACTAGTTAATCAGAAATTTATAAGCCCACTTATCAAATTTCAATTTAACGTTAACAGTTCAATTCAACTGCTGAGTTTATAAGAACTGTGTTCATAATTCACTGACAGAAGTAGTTCTGTACTACAATCACTGAAACTTAGAAGAGGTAAAAATACCTGATTTGAGCATCCTGGGCACAGTCAACCTGCAGAGCAGATTAAAAATCTAATTGTTCCATTTTGGGATTGAGTAGCTACAAATTCTGATTTGTACTGATCACTATCAGATTTTATGTCTTAAACAAGGAACTATTTAAGAGGTAAATGTTAACCTGTCTCTTTCAAGCTACTGTAACATCTACACAGTTCAGCCTGTGTTTTCACCATATAACAAAATATATTACAATGAAGGGTTTGGGCTAATGATCATCCTCAGATTAGATACAAGAATCATAATAAGAAAATGGAAGAACAACAACAGTCATACATCCTGAAGGCCAGTTTCCTTTTTTTTTTTTTTTAATTTTAAGATTTATTTATTTATTTATACATACAAGCACTGGGTACAGTCAGAAGCGCGGGAGGGTGAGAGAATTCACCAGAGCCAGAACAGGGAGCAGAGCAGGCAGAAGGACCGAAGTACACTGCTGAGGGGAGCAGCGGGCGGCAGGAGAGGTCTGCGCGCCATGTGGGACCCTCCTCCAGTGGCCGGGGAGCAGCCAGGGATCGAACCAGCACTGCAGAGGCTGCGGGCAGCTTCACAACCCAGTGCTCAACCACTGCGCCACCGGGGAGGCCCGTGAAGGCCACTTTCTTAATAATGCTATATGACTATCATTTGCATACTTAAATTTAGACTAATATTAAGCAAGAAAAAAGCTGGAACTTGTTAAGCCGTACTCCCAAAATTATAGTTGTATAAACAAAATATATTAATAGTTGTGTAAATGAATAGAAAATTAATAAAATTTGATTTAAAAATTCTTTAGCTTCTTCTAAAAGGGAATTCTAAAGCACCACATACAATGTACAGTTCATGATAAATGATCATATTCTGTCTACTTTAACCAATGATAAACTACCTACTCTGATGTCATAATCCTAGAAACAGAATATTCTACAAATTGACTTAACTAGAAAATTAAAATTTCTTCTACATGGTTTCTAGTTGAAATTTTAATCAATAAAAGTAAATCCTGCAAGAGCTCAAAAACCCAATTTTTAATATTGAAAGGAAATCGTACGATATTCTACAACACGGATAAGTCTTGATTACATTATGCTACATGAAATAAGTCCATCACACAAGTACTGTATGATTCCACCTAGATGAAGTCAAGTGGTATTAAATACCACTGAACTGTACATGCAAAAATGGTAAAGATAAGTTTTGTTGTGTGTAGTTACAATTTAAAAAAAAGTTTTAAATGATGTAAAAATTCAACTCCTCAGAAATGCTTTTTCTGTTTTCTCTATTATTTCAGATTGCACTCTACTACACTAAGAATGTAGGGTAGAGAGCCTGTCTAAAATCTTCCAGGAAGTATTCCAAATGAGTCAGAAGTGTACTCAGGCTATAACATATTATATACAATTAGGACATCTGATGTTTACTAAATGCTCTCTCTTCATTGCATAATTCTAGCCTTTGTTTCCACTGATAAAAAGATTACATCATAATCAAATATATATTTTATAGTAGGAAAGACCAAGCAAATAAT